CCCCCTTACTCCCCAGGTCTCATTTCACACTTACCTACACCTCTCTACCCAGGTCTCAGTTAACTCCTTCACAGCTGTCACATAGGGGTGTCTTTCTCTGCAGACACATAAATTCAAGAATAAAATCAACATAACCATATAAGCCAAACTTTTTAAAATCCCTTTTCATCAAATGTACCTGTTACTTTAATTTATAATACAGAATTAAACATGTATATGAAACTTAGATACATGTCTTTATCAACTCTGAGTTTTAAACGGATTTTTTTTATAACGAAATCAATTAAGTCAATAAGGTTACAGACTGAATGTTTGGCAGTAGATGTTGAATGCCAATCAACTTAAGCTATATGAGACAAGGGTTAAGTGAGATGAGGTTTGCAGAAGATGAGAGTCCTAGAAGGCAAGAGTTGAGATTTGTAAAAGAGTAGAACTATGTCATATGAGAATTTTGTGAGATCAGAATTATTTTGGATGAGAGCGATGTGAGATAACAGAGATAATGGTCGGGAGTTGTATAACACCATGGTTTTGTCAGATCAGATGTGTGTGAGATGAGGTTTATGTGAGATAAGCCATGATATGAGAGTTGCAGGAGATGAGAAATATGTGGGATTAGAGGTGAACATGTGAGTGTTATACTGGGTGAAAATTTGGCGAGTATGAGACAAAGTTGTACCTACCAGAGGTTTTTAGTGAGACACACAAGTACCTACCCAAGGTTCTGAGAGAGACACACAAGTACCTACCCAAGGTTTTGATTAAGACACAAATACCTACTCAAGGTTTTGAGAGAGACATAATTACTACCAGAGGTTATGAGGGAGACACACGAGTACCTACCTGATGATTTTGAGTGAGACACACGATCACCCACCTGATGTTTTTGAGTGAGACACACGAATACCTACCTGATGTTTTTGATTGAGACACAAGAGTACCTACCTGATGTTTTTGAGTGAGACACACGAGTACCTAACGAAGGTTTTTTTAGAGAGACACAAGTACTACCCGAGGTTATGAGTGAGACACAAGTACCTACCCGAGGTTCTGAGTGAGACATACAAGTACCTACCAGATGTTTTTGAGAGAGACACACGAGTACCTACCCGAGGTTCTGAGTGAGATACACAAGTACCTTTAACCGATGTTTTTGAGTGAGATACACGGGTACCTTACCATGGTTCTGAGTGAGACACACGAGTACCTACCCAATGTTTTTTGAGTGAGACACACGAGTACCTACCCAAGGCTATGAATGAGACACACGAGTACCTACCCGAGGTTCTGAGTGAGATACACAAGTACCTTTACCCGATGTTTTTGAGTGAGACATACCAGTACATACCCAATGTTTTTTAGTGAGATACATGAGTACCTACCTGAGGTTCTGACAGTTGGTACGGTAGGAGAAGGCACACCTCAGTATGATGTCCAGGCTACAGGCACTCACTACACCAAATGTCTCAAAACTCTCACCCTTCCCCGCACACACTCCAATGTTGTTCTATAATGAATCAGAAATATCAAAAACATCTGGAAACTAAATATTCTTTGTCTTCATCATCTATTGCATTTATTTTCTATGATACATTATTTTCACCAAAAACCAAATTATGGAATTGTTAATTGAGCGTAATGATAGTTTCCCTTGAATCGCTCTCCTTCTGTCATTTTTTTCTTTTCCTAAGCAGCAGACGTTGTTAAAAGCTAGCCAAGGGAAACAGTTCTCTGACTTTACCAGGAGTTCCTCTGCTGCCTCATTGTAGATGTCCATATATGGTCGTAGGACATCAAAATGGAAGGCTGGTGTAAGTAGACGACGAGAACGGGCCCACTGCTTACCCCCTGCAATGAGCAATCCGGGACCAAGCCAGGGTAGGGCATGTCTATAGAACCCTCCAAATCCTATTGGCTTGGGCTCTAGAAGAGAATATTGTTACACATTAAATTCTTGACCTGAAAAGTAAGACATCTCTACCATTACAGATAACATATCAAACAATGTACCCTGTATATAGATAATAAAACAATGTACCCTATATACAGGTCCTATAACAATGTACCCTGTATACAGGTTATAAAAACAATGTACCCTGTATACACCGGTCCTATAACAATGTACCCTGTATACATGTCCTATAACATTGTACCCTATATACAGGTCCTATATCATTGTACCCTGTATACAGGTCCTATACCAATGTACCCTATATACAGGTAATAAAACAAAGTACCCTATATACAGGTAATAAAACAATGTACCCTATATACAGGTCCTATAACATTGTACCCTATATACATGTCCAATAACAATGTACCCTATATACAGGTCCTATATCATTGTACCCTGTATACATGTCCTATAACATTGTACCCTATATACAGGTAATAAAACAAAGTACCCTATATACAGGTAATAAAACAATGTACCCTATATACAGGTCCTATAACATTATACCCTGTATACATGTCCTATAACAATGTAACCTGTATACAGGTCCTATAACATTGTACCCTGTAAACATGTCCTATAACATTGTACCCTGTATATTGGTCCAATTACAATGTTCCCTGTATACAGGTCCTATAACATTGTACCTCGTATACAGATCCTATAACATTGTACCCAGTGTACAGGTCCTATAACAATGTACCCTGTGTACAGGTCCTATAACAATGTACCTTGTATACAGGTCCTATAACAATGTACCCTGTGTACAGGTCCTATAACAATGTACCCTGTGTACAGGTCCTATAACAATGTACCCTGTGTACAGGTCCTATAACAATGTACCCTGTATACATGTCTTATAACAATGTACTCTGTGTACAGGTCTTATAACATTGTACCCTGTGTACAGGTCCTATAACAATGTATCTGCTATACAGGTCCTATAACAATGTACCCTGTGTACAGGTCCTATAACAATGTACCCTGTATATATGTCTTATAACATTGTACCCTGTATACATGTCCTATAACAATGTAACCTGTATACAGGTCCTATTTGTTTTTAAATCAGTCTTGTTCTTCAAGAGTTATTTGCTTTAAAATGGGCATAACTCTCTGAAAAGGGGAGTTAAAGGGGGATATTTTAGAAGCTTGCACACAATTTCATGATGCATAATGTAGTTTAGGAGATATTTAGATGGACAGATAGATAATTACAATTTATTAGGAAACTGTCTATGAATATACCTATCAGTAAGTAAATAATAATCTCACCTGCTGTTTTGAGGATCATCTTGATGGTTTCTGGATGGTTCAAAAGAATATTGGCTCTGGGACCCATCCAGAACCGAAAGTATCGTGGGAACTGTCTGGTGATTTTCAAGCCATACTCAAGTCTCTCATGGCTTGTCTTTGGAAGCTGAAAAAAGTTACAAACATTCAATTAAATAACAATTGACCTTACCCAGTTAGGATGTCGTTACACATAGTTACTTGGTTAGGTTGTAAGTACACATACTTACTTAGTTAGGTTGTCAGTACACATACTTACATGGTTAGGTTGTCAGTACACATACTTACATGGCTAGGTTGTCAGTACATATACTTATCTGGTTTAGGTTGCCAGTACACATACTTGCATGGTCAGGTTGTCGGTACACATACTAACCTGGTTAGGATGTCATTACACATACTTACATCGGTAGGTTGTCAGTACACATTCCTACCTGGTTAGGTTGTCAGTACACATACTTACCTGGTTAGGTTGTCAGTACATAACTTACATGTTTAGGTTGTCAGTACACATACTTACATGGTCAGGTTGTCGGTTCACATACTTACCTGGTTAGGATGTCAGTACACATACTAACCTGGTTAGGATGTCAGTACACATACTTACCTGGTTAGGATGTCAGTACACATACTTACCTGGTTAGGATGTCAGTACACATACTTACCTGGTTAGGTTGTCAGTACACATACTTATATGGTTAGGGTGTCGGTACACATACTTACATGGTTAGGATTTCAGTACACACACTTACAAGGTTAGGTTGTCAGTACACATACTTACCTGGTTAGGTTGTCAGAACACATACTTATCTGGTTAGGTTGTCAGTACACATACTTACATGGTTAGGTTGTCGGTACACATACTTACCTGGTTAGGTTGTCAGTACACATACTTACATGTTTAGGTTGTCAGTACACATATTTACCTTGTTAGGTTGTTAGTACACATACTTACCTGGTTAGGATGTCAGTACACATACTTATCTGGTTTGGTTGTCAGTACACACTTACTTAACTGCTTGACAGTACAGTACATTACACACTTACCTGGTATTCACTTTGTTGAGATGACAGTAAAGTATACTTACCTGATGGCAGTGGTAGAACATTGATATGTAGTACTTACCTGTTGTAGATGGCCGTACAGCCAGTGCGAGCCTTCAGGTCCAGGCAAATCACGGTATGTATTACTTGCGTAGCGTACGTGAAGCAGAAATCGTACGACTTCGTACAGAATATAGCTTGCAACACCGAGAACAAGAGTACCAACTATGTTCCCAGGTGTTAATGCCGCGCTGGATAATAGGCCGATCTTCATCTTTAAAATAGGCTTACTGCGTTTGTAAACAAGGGAGGGTTTTGTGAACAATCCTCCTTCGTTCGTCTCAGCTGTCTTATGCGACAAATCGAATCAACGGCCACAATATCCAGACGCATATCGGCAAAGCCGAATACATAAATTGTTGTCAGTGATCATTAAATATTTTATGTTTACAGCTAACTGCAGCTGGCGCTAGAACGGGAGATGGATATCGGGCTTACAAATAAAAATGATATTTATTACAGGTGTTAATTATAAACAGTCCCTTTAAGTCCCCCTGTCAGTCCCCCTCTGTCAGTCCCCCTTATCGGTCCCTACATGTATCAGTCCCCATCGGTTAAGTGTATATATATAGTGAGTGAGGAGAATTTCGACACATTCAATGGCTCAAGCACAAATCGATCAGTTCAAGAAAGTAACTTGAGGGAGTAGGAATACTTTATGAAAGTATTTGTCGGTCCCCCTAGGCCTGTCAGTCCCCATGTCAGTCCCCCTATCGGTCAGGGGTGAAAAGTACTTAAAACAATGATAGCTCGGAGATGTAGGAATACTTTTGATAATGTAAATCAATAGGAATTCTTTATGAATATATTTGGATGAAAAGTACTTGAAACATTTGTACCATGAAGATGAAAGTACTTGACACATTTGTAACATGCAGATGAAAGTACTTGAAACATTTGTAACATGCAGATGAAAGTATTTGATAAGATGTTAGTCAAAACTATCGCACCTGACCACACTCGATATTTGTTTTTCATGAGATGAAAAAAAAATGATAAGTGAAACATTCCGTACATAGGTATAAAGTAACGTACTCAGCCACATGTACATTCTACTCACTTTTCACTCGACAATGGACGACAGCAGTACTGCTCCAATGTGGCTTGAACAATTTCAGCGATCTCTAATAATCCTCCACAAATTAGGACTTCATCGTGATGCAACTCTACATAAGGAGCTTAAACTTTGTGTGGCTACACATATGAAGGGGAGCATCATTTGCTAATGAAGATGAGAGAGAAAAGGCAAATGCTTTCTGCTACTATATGGTCTCCGAGGCATAACATAACGAACATGCATTTACGAGGTTGACTGAATATAAAAGCATATTAGATCAAATTTACAGTGTATGTCTACAATATAATTTGGTATAAATTTCCTAGGAAATAAAACTAGTAACATACATAATTTCAGGTTAAGAAACATAGAATTTATATTACTAGAATTTAAAACCGATGAACCATAGACAATGAGTCTGCCGCGCTTATTGTGTTGTTATTTACATTTTATTCCTTGCTAGGTGCTGATAGATAACAAAAGGATGCATCCGTACCACCGGAACAAAACCCATCCCAAATCATCGGCTTCACTCCAAGATGAATTTGATCAAGATATAGCAAGTCAAAATTTTCAGGGAAAAAGACGCTCTTGTATACACAGTCATGGTTCAAGTCATTAAATATAGGTCGTTTTTTTGTTTGTTTTGTGTTGGATATAATTCCAATGATTGATGCAGCTCTTTCCTTTCTTATAAATGTATACAGTTCATGAGACGAGTTTGATTAATATTTAGCCATTCATATTATTTGATAGAGTTGTCTCCATTTCAGTACAAATCTGTAGTGTAAAGAGCCTAGCGGGTCGTTATATCGATATTCCGTTAGTCTTCTCATTTAAATATGTATCAAAAACGTTTGATTAAATCTGTCATAAATTCATACGGTGATGTGATATTAACAGATATATCGTAATATGCTACTAATCAGCTATGTTTAATCAGTATTTTTAGGTCACCTGAGCTTTGCTCAAGTGACCCATTCTAATCGCTTTCCGTCCGTCGACGTCCGTCGTCCGTCGTGCGTAAACTTTTTACATTTTCAACTTCTTCTCAAGAACCAGTAAATGGATTTTTTTCAAATTTGGTCAGAATCATCCTTGGTAGGTGAGGCTACAAAATTGTAGGATTCCTAACTCAAAACTCTTCTTCTCCAGACTCAGAGGTACTACAGTCATTTTCTCTGCATGATCATCAGGGGCTTTATTTAAATTGTAAATTTCAGGACCCCCAGCTATCCGTTCTTCCTTGGGGAGGGGGTGAAATTTACTATAGTTTATATAGGGAAATAACACTTTTGGGTATATTTTATCCATTTTCAGTAGAAAATTACTCAACCTTAGTTAGGATCATCTTTGGTGGATGAGGGTATTACATTGTAAAATTGGGATTCCTGCCCTATCCCCAGGGGCTAGGGCGGGGCCCCAAAGGGAACATTTACCAATATTTTCGAATTCTTATCCTTTGATGACATGACAAGTATTGTATTTCACTTAGTTTACACGCTGATTTCCACATCAGATCTAAACAATAAAATATAGCTACCAGTACCTATGATATTTCTCAGGTGACCGCTAAGGCCCTTGGGCCTCTTGTTTTGGTTGTCACGAGGTCGCCATCTGTAGATCCGTCATATTTCATAAACTCGTTAGAGCCATAGAGAAACGTTACACCGAGTTAAGAAACGAAACCCTTTTTTCATAGATAGTGTAGTGGAAGTAAAATACGGTAGAGTTCGTAATCAGATGAACAGGTTGACGAGACATCGATACAATTGTAAAGTAGAAGTCATTTTTTCAACGTATAATGAGTCGGTGCTGGATTGTATATCTGAATGTAGAGAGAATTGACTAAGAAGAAACGATTTTGTTTTCGCTAAAATTTTATTAATAGTCAATTTCATTTCAACAAATTTTATTGACAAAGTTGATACAAGTCAATTGGATGGAATAACAGGCAAAGCCTATATAAATTCTCTCCAGCGGTGGCTAAATTAACGGATTCTATTATTTTTATTTGATTTAATTAATACATCAATTTTGAAATGAAAATTATATAAAAGAATATATATATTAAAGGGATGTAACTCCTTCTTGATTAACATAACTGAAATACAAAAACATTCACACTTCTCACATCACACACAAAACACTTCCACAGGTATTATTTATTTTTATAACATTTTACAATTGTATATGAGCTATATAGCTATCAAATCACACAGATATTGGCAGACATTGACCAAAAGTCCATGTGCAAATATATGCACAGGTCACAGTCGCCAAAACTGTTAAGTTCTTATAGTTTTATATAGCTAGTCTATGTGTAATTCAATGTATAAGATGGAAACTGTAAAACAAGACAGATTGAACAAATCTTACAACAAACAACAACAAACAAACATGCTCAACTTAAAACTCCTATGTCCGTAGAAGAATAACATTTATAGAAAAGTAGGTAAAGTTACTTATTTGTGGAGTATAATTGAAATAGGAATAGTAAAGTATAAAAGTATAAAGTATAAGGTCATGGCTGGTTAGATCATATAGAGATTAAAACGCCTAGATTTACCAATAAATAACTGTACATCATTAAGTAACTGTCTGTTTGTTAGTCCATCACAATCAGGACAGCCTTGTAGAAAAATGTTTGTATCAATATGGTTATGATTTCCATAATTATCAACAGAAGTAAATAAAGTAAGTCTGAGATCATTATACAATGGACATTCAAGAAAGTAATGGAAAACTGTTTCATATTCAAAAGAGCAAGCACAAGAGGGACAGTCAGTTAAATGGTCATTGAATAAATCAAAATTTAAATTGCTACATAAGTTTCTAAGTTGACAAAGAATAATGTTGGCCCGTCTATCACCTTCAGTTTTAAAAATTAAGGTTGATTCATTATCGATAATAATATCTTTATTTAGTTTGTGTTTAAAGGTTGCAAGAGTTGGGGAGTTTAAGAGATCATTATCAGTAGTGTTAGTTGTGCGGCACATTAGAGGGAGGAAACTGTCAAAATAATTGTTAGTTCTGCATATTGGTGGATTAAACAGTCTTGTTTGTCTGAGGAAATAGGGATTATTGTTTTGATTGTTAATGAAAGGATTTAAGACATCTTGTAAGTATTGAGGTGACAGCCCATGCATTATTTTATACATCATTATGTGTTTGTGTTTATTTCTTCTTGTTGACAGAGTTTCCCAACCAAGTTCATTATAAAGTTTATTATGAGATGTTCCAGATCGAAGTCCAGTAATGATTCTGGCTGCTTCTAATTGAATAGATTCTAGAAGTTCTTTAGATTGTTGAGTGCAATTATCCCATACTATGTCTGCATATTCCAAAATTGGCCTGATAAATGCTATATAAATTTTAATTAATGATTTACGATTGACTTTAGTTTTAATGTAACGAAGAATATTTAATCTACTATAAGCTTTTTCATATATATTCAGAATGTGTTGATTCCAAGATGCATCATCTTTTAAAGTCAGTCCTAAGTGTGTATGTGCTGTTGAGTCAGTGATTTGGCTGTTTTGGAAAGTTATTGGAGGGTGATGTTTGTTATGTTTTCTAGAAAATATTACAGATTTAGTTTTGGTAGGGTTGAACTTGATGTCCCATATACCTGCCCATTCACCAATGTTAGAGAGATCATTTGTCAGAACTTGTGCTGCATGTGCTGGGTTTTCATCTATAATTACATATAAGGAGGTGTCATCTGCAAAAAGCTTAATATTAGTTGAAACATTGTCAGTGATGTCATTAATATAAAGGAGAAATAGTAAAGGTCCCAGAACAGATCCCTGAGGTACCCCTGCATTTATACCCTTAAACTGTGAGTGATAACCTTCAGTGGTGACTCTTTGCAATCTATCAGAGAGATAATTTTCAAACCATAAAAGTAAATTTCCATCAATTCCATACGTTTTAAGTTTATGTAAGAGACCTTTATGCCACACCCTATCAAAAGCTTTGCTAATATCACAAAAAATAAATCTGAGCTCCTTCCCCTGGTCCATATTGCTAACAATTTCATTATAAATAAATAGTAGTTGATTAACAGTAGAATCACCTGGTATAAAGCCAGACTGGTGCTTAGTTAAGATAGAATTTTCTATTAGATAGTTGTAAAGATTTTTGAAGACAATTTT